GCAATCTTTCTTAGTGGGAAAGAAAGGGTTAGTTCTGTTGTTCAATGTTGAGTTGGCCACTGTTAATGATGGTTACTTTTTCTGCTTTTGACAGCCGAGATACAGAAACGGAGCGGAGAAAGGATAGCAAGTGTGGGGAAATGCAGCTTTTTGGTGACGTTCTCAGGCTACATGGTAGTTAGTCATGGACAGATGCTTTGGGCTGGCAGGTCGGCCATGACAGCTGTTGCTCTGGCCTCTGACTCACTTCCCCAGTCTAGGACATCATCTGGCTGGGCTGGTCATGTTCCTCTTCTTCATTAGTCCCTCTTAGGCTGGGCAGAGCTGGATGGGCCATCTCATCCTGTCATGTTGGTGCTATGCAGTGCAGCTGATTCCAGGATCAGGTGAAAAGCCGAGAACGAGGACAGGAGGAAGAGAGCGGCAATGGAAGGGAATACTCAAAGGAAGGGAAGATAGAGCAGGATCTCGCGTGTATCAGGCAGGGGTCCTCACTGGTCCAGGCGGCCTCACAGTGGGCTGGGCTGGAGGTGCCAATGCTCAAGGCTCACCAATGAAGGACAGAGTCTCTGGAGCAAAGCAGAGCTTTATTGACTTTTGCTTGAGGAAATCCCCTTATTCATTCCCCCAAATCTCTTTAAAGGATCCCAAAGGGGGGTGATGGGTGACCACCAGTTAGGCGTAATATCCTACAGGCCAGTTTGGGTCCATTAATTTCTGATTCCATTCTCCTCTAGTTTACCAGTCACAATCTTAATGCAGACCTTGGTTGGTGTCAGTAGAACGTTTTGTTTGGATTAAGCCAGCCTTTGTCGCCCTTTTGTATCTTTCTCTGTCAGCATTTTTTGTTCTAGGTGATTGTCAAATGTGTGTGACCTTTCACCCACTGTCTGCCAGTTGAGCTCACAATTGAGGGAGGCCTGCTAGACCCCAATTATTACAACAGCTCCTGCAGTGGCACCCTCAAAGCAAGGACGGGAGTCCTGTGCTAGGGGTGGAAAGTCCTGTCTCACTCCCGGAGAGATGCCAACAAGAGAAGCAACCCTGGCCTCTTCCTCCTAAAGACCAAAGGGAAATGAAGGAAACTTGACCATTAAACTGGGGAAGCCAGGAGGAAAACCCCAAAGGGGACAGGTTGCTTGCGGAACTTGCACTTGCTTCAAGGGTGACGGCAGGAGGACGGTGGGAGCTTCTCCCATGAGAGTTAGGGGACAGGGCTCTCCTGACACCCTGTCAGGGGATGGCCAGGAGTGAATCCCAGGAATGGTGAGTACCATCCGGGAGTGAGGCCTCAAGTCCTTCCCCCGCCCCACACTAGAGTCCCCAGGCCCTAGGGCCCGTGCCTCAGCTAAGCTGCCTCTTTGAAAGGGCCGTGGTTTTGCCTGGATTCCTGGCTCCTTGCCACACACAGGAAGACATGCGCTGTCACTGAAATGTGCTGACAAAGCTGGGCTGAGGCAGCTGCCTGGCTCACACTGTGGTGCTGCCCACCAGGGCCTTGTCTCCTCTCGGCTCGTTTCCCTCCGGTTTCCCACGGTTTGGAGCTGAACTGCGGTAACGGCTGAGGGAGGTCATGGTATGTCACATAGATCTGCCCTGAGCGGGGCGAGTCAGTGGACAGCATCGTTCCCTCCACAATGTGTCCGACTGCGGGGTAAGAGAGAGGAATGCACCCCTGACACCCGCTTCATCCCAACGCATGAGGGGCCAGAACCCTGGGAGCTGTATTCTGGCCCATGTTGCTGCAGATGCTATTCTTATTCATACAGTACAAAGGTATCCAGAGCCTGGAAGGAAGGGGCTATTAGGGTGAATACGGTATGTGTTCTGCTTGAGGTGTGCTGCCTGTGATTCTCGGCAGGATCCTGCAGGGCATGGCACAGTCCCTCCCCTGGCCTTGGGGCTCCTGCACGTGGCTAGAGTCCCTCCTGCCCCGCACCCCGGATCTGGAAAGGACTGTTCTTGGGATCAGAGCACAGAGCTGGGAGTCGGGATCTGGCTTCTATTCTCCACTCTGGCACCAACTCACTGGATGACTTCAGGCAAGTCACTTCCCCGTTCTGGGCTTCAGCTCCCCCCAGCGCTAAGGTGTGAAATGGTTCCTTGCTCCTGGGCTGGAAAGTGCAATGCAGGCACTGGGGGTTATCTGAAGGCCTGTCTTCCTCATAGGCATGAGACGAGGACACAGTTCCAGCCTCCGTCATGACCGTCCTGGTTGCTTTAGTCTGCCCCACGCCAATCGCTGCTGAAGCCCCTTACTCAGAGAGCTCTGGCCCAGGGCAGAGGAGTCAGAGTCATTCTGGGCCTGATTTTCAGAGATGCTGAGCACCTGCGGTTCCCCCGATGTCTGTGGGAACTCCGGGGTTCTCAGTACTTCTGAAACTCAGGGCAATTTATTTTGAATGCTGGGCCAGGACTGAGCCTGCAAAGGCAGGTCCATATACACCCCTCAGTCCACAGCAGATCTCCCATCAATAACAATACAAGCAATCAGGAGAATGATGAGGGGCAGTTGGCCCAATGCCGGGAGGGGGGAGGATATGGTCCTAATATGGTCACTAAACTTCTACCTAGTAAAGTTACTGGTGCATCTGCCGTCATTCAGTGGGAGAAAAAAAAATCTCTTGGGTGCTGCAGCCTGCCCAGGGTTCAGCTGCACTTAACCTAAGTTACTCGCACATTTGCAGTGGTTGTGCACACACGCACCTGGTCACCCATGTTACATGAAAATCTGGCTCTGACGGTGTCGTAATTAGACTTAACAGTTACTGCTGCATTTCCCAGAGCTGTTGTCCCAGGCTGGCTGCAGACTCAGGCAGACAGAACTGTGTCGGCTACACGCCCATCACCTTTGGAAGATTTTCCTTGTAGCCATAAGGGCTCGAGACAACCGTGTTTCTTCACTGAAAACTTGCAGTGTGCTGCCCCTGAATCCCAGATTAATACCTTGTGTGGGCAGGTGCAGAGCTCAGGGCTTGAAGGCCCCTGGTCTAATGGTCTGAGTGCAGAACTAGGAGCCTCGATCTCCTGTGTTCAAAGCAGGACTCTGACAATGACTCCCCAGCTGACCTTGGGCAAGTTGCTTTCCTGTTCTCAGCCTCAGTTTCCCCCAAAATGGGTCTCTATTTACCTGCTCCACAGGGCTGCAGGGATGGCTGGGGATGAAGCCTGGAAGGTGGCACGTGCTGAGGACGGTTAGACTTTTGCAGCTCGTTAACCCTGTATCCTCTGGCAGGGCCATGACCCACCCCTGCGGGTGGACTGATGGCCTCGGTCTCCTCTTCCTTTTCCCCACCCCCGCTCCTCCTCCTCTTCCCCCTCCCTCCGCTGCATTGCTGTCAATAGGGCCAGCTACAGGCAGGCTGATGTCACCGGCTCCAATCTGCAGCCGGCAGCCCTTGGGCAGCAGCCGCTGCTGCGGCAGGGGGTCCGGGACCGCCAGCTTCTGCGAGCTGGAGGGAGCCTGCTAGGGAGCGATGCAGCTGCCCGGGGGCTCGGGCAGGAAGTGGCTCCGGGCTGGCAGGGGGGGTGCGGGCAGCCAGTGATTTGGGGCACAGCAGAGGGGGGCAGCGGGGCCCGCAGTTGCAGAGGACGCCTGCAGAGGTAGGTGCTAACAAGGCTGCAAGTGGCCCGTCCCCCTGCCGGGAGCCAGGCCCGGGCTGCCCCTCACTCTGGGGCAGAGCCCAGCGGGCCACCTGCCCCGTGCCATGCCCTGGAGGGGCTGTGGGCAGCTCTGTCCCCGCCCACGCTCATAGCCGGGCACCCCCCTTGCCCCAGACCCCAGCCGGCTGGATGCCATGTGACCCCCTCTCCCGGGACTGGGAGGGGACAGGCCGCTGCCCACCCTTACCCCCAAACTGGCAGCAAGATGTCCCTGGGCTGTGCTGTCCTCCCCCAGCCAGACGGGGAGTCCCAGGATCAGGCTCTTTTCCTGCTGGGAGCACTGCTACCGGGTCTGCTTTTCCGCCTGCCTCCCCCAGCACCCGGTGACTTCTCCAGAGCGCTTGGGGCAGGGACCGGCTCTTTGTACCCCACCTAGCACCCTGGCGTCCTCCTCTATGCCGGGGTACCTGGGCACTACTCTAATGCAGATGAATAGGCATCATCATCATCATAATGAGAGTCTAAACTAGGACGTTCTGAAACCAAAGGGCTTGTCTACTTAGGGAAATTGACCGGAATAACTATTGTGGAATAAGCTATTCTGCAACCGTGATTCCAGAATGGCTCCATGTGTGGACATTCTATTCTGTCACTTCATTCTGGAATGATGACCAAGCTCACAAAGCGCACTAATCATTCCAGAAGACAGTGACGGGTTGCAGAAGAGTGTCCACGTGGGGAGCTATTCTGAAATAGCTCTTGTGCCCTAACCCAGAAGAGGCCCATAGAGCCTCATCCCGAGAGGAGCTCTGGAGAGTCATTCAGAAGACGGTGCTATCCGTTACAGTGATAAGTTGAGGCCAGCCGCAGCTCTCGCACTGTTTCTGTGAGAGCAGGCCTTATAGCTCTGTAATTTCCCCAAATTTGCCTTCCTAAAATCGGATCCTCTTGACCTGTTGACTGCGTTAGTGCCAAGGCCTCCGCTAGTTCGTGGATTCTAGCTTTTCGACTCCTGTGCTCCATTAGGTAAAGTCTCTCGATGTCGGTCCGTCTGGGACCCACCCAGCGCCTAACTCCCTTTGGAGTCTAGACTCGCCTTGCCTGGTCCCACCTCACTGCTGATCCCTCCCAGCAGGCCAGTCAGAGCTCACTCAAGCCCAGCTTCGCCATTGCTTTGCCCCAAGCAGTGATCTGTTTTTACCTGGGTTCGGCTGGTGCCCGCATGCTGATTCATACCCGCTGCACTAAGGCAGCGTAATCTCTCAGACTGGTTTTTCATGTTGCACTCCCCACTTCATGCATGCATGCTCCATCTAACTGTGCTTTGTCTGGTGGCTGCACTGACCGGTCATTGCACCCTGTGCTTTTGCTTTGCACAGACTGGCTCCCGCCGGCATGGATGGTGTGCCCCGTGTGGTACAGACTTGGGTTCGTTGGTAGGAAGCCTTTGTGCTAGCGGCATCAGCAGGTAGCATTCCCTGTAGAGCCGAGGCCTGGCATTCAGAGAGAAGCCATGGTGAGTCATGTTGTATTTTACAGGGGTTCTCACACTGGTCTGCAGAAAGCTGCCTGGTGATGTACAATGGGGACTGGGAGATGGGGAGGTGGAGCCATGTGATGGCAAATGGGAGGGAAGGTGCAACAATCTCCCAGTGTTGATAAGTGCAAAGTAATGGCCGTTGGAAAACATAATCCCAAGTGCTGGGTGTTTGAATTGAATAGCGATTTGAGATTGTCAGATGACAGGTTCAAATGGAATTGTTTTAATCGAGATTATCAATCAGAGATTGATACAATTCTATACAGAATACGCAAGGAACAGATGCTTTGCCACTCCCCTGTAGACGGTGAAGAGAAAGTAGTTTAGTCCCTTCCTCTGTACTGGAGGAATGCTGACAGTGTTTGTTCCCTATCTAACACCCCAGACCTCTGTCCTTCTCTAGTGTGTGAGACAAAGAAACTCCTTTTTTGGAGGGGAAAATATTTTATCATAATTATTTTTACCATCTGTTCTGTTTTCCTCATTACTAATGGAATTTCTTTTGTCATCCTCAGTTTACCTGACTGATGAGCAAAAAAGAATCTCTAATCCAGTCATTATTACTAACAGCTGTGACTACTGACAGTGCTTAAATGATTTAAAAACACCTTTCAGTGGTGCATTATTTCATCCATTACAGAGCCCATCTGTCATAACAAGTATCTCTTATCATTCACCTAGTTTTGTTTATAACATCCTTGTGTAGAAACTTTTTAGTAGTTGGGGGATGTCTCTTCCTGGGACATCTGGCCTATATTAGTAAGATCAGGGTAAAAAATTATACACATTTCATCATTGAGTTCATTGTCCCAGTGCATGGATCACTTGATGATTACCTGTTCCGTTCATTCCCTCTGAAGCACCTGGCATTGGCCACTGTCAGAAGACAAGACACTGGGCTAGAGGGACCATTGGTCTGACCCAGTATGGCCGTTCTTATGTTCTTATGTCCTTTGCCCATTAGATTCAATTAAAGGACAAAGAACTTTTTAGTTTCAATATATATAGGACAATAAATATATAGATACACAAAACAAAGAGGCTTGTCGTTAGCATATAAAAGAATTATGAGAGATTAACATACAAAAATCATAAAAAGTTAATATCTGCTAAAACAACTATCTATATAAAATGATGGGATCTAAATTAGCTGTTCTCACTCAAGCTGCAAACTGATATCCTAGTTCCTGTGTGCGCAACCAGGGAAACCCCTGTTAATCTACTAGGCTAACTCAGACCTGGCCATGTGACTCAGTGTCTTGGGCAGTAGCCTCTCTTGGCTGTAGCTGTTTTCCCTACATACAGGGGTTAAGTGCTCCTTCCAGGGCGTCTGAAAGAGAGTGCTTGGCACCCCCATCTGTTGTATTGAGGTGTGTGATTGTCCCGGGATTACAGCCCCCACTGGTGGCAGCCATTAGCGCCTTTCAGCAGAGCGAGAACCACCATTCCGTCTGGCCTGCCTGGCTCTGAATCTTGCGCGCACACTGCTCCTGTCTCCGCCAGGACTGGGTGTTTTGCTCTGTCACCAGGAGTTCAAACGTTCTCCAGGAGCGAAATCCTGGCCTGGTTGAAGTCAATGGGAGCTTTGGCATTGATGTCAGTGGGTCTGGGATCTCACCCAAGGACCCGAGGGAGTTTACTCCCCTTCAGCCCCCTGGTCCTTGCTGGTGTTCCTCTCTGAACTCCCCTTACTTTGCCAGTCACCCATCTGCCCTCTCGATAGTTTCTTTATAGGATCCTCTTCTTCATTCCCTCAAACCTCTTCAAGATCAGGTCCCCCGCCCCTCACTGTCTGCTGGGAACAGGTTGGTTCTTCTCTGCCCAGGGGCTCCTGGGCTTCCCGTCTCCGGGTGGAGCCCCGCTCTCTCCTCTGACTCCCCGACGGTGCCTTGTCCCCTGCAGACCGACGCCCCGGAGAGCACGACGGGCCGGAGGTCTCGCACGCTCAGGCACAGGTTCCTCTGGAAGCTCCGCCAGAAGTGGAAGCTCCTGGGCCTCTTTGAGATCAACGGGGAGCACGAGTTTTATGACCTGACCTGCATGCTGAAGGTGGGGCTCAGGGCCGCCATCCAAGAGGCCATTGACAACCCGCCTGCGGTGAGTACCTCCCGGGGATGGGCTCATTCACCTCCCCAGCTGCCTGGCTGTACGCCGAGACTCCTACACGGCCTTCTCCCCCAGCACGGGGCTACCAGTGAGTGCGCTGCTGTAGCAAAGATGTGCTGCCTCCTATGTGCTCCCGTCATGATCCTCCCTCTTGTCTCTCCCCCAGTCAAGGAGCCCCAAGTGCTTTGCATCCCCGTGACACTGAGAGGGGAAGGGCCGTGCCCAGGTCCCAGGGCGAGGCAGCGATGCAGCCCCCTACTCTCCGAACTAGGCTGTGCTCCCTTTTCGGAGAACGCTGACGAACTGACGTGAAATTCGGCCCTGGCCGGCCCAGCCAAACTGGTGGCTCAAACGAAATGCACTGCCCAGCGCAGGTGATCAGAGCAAACTCCTGACTGACAAGTACAAACGGGCCCCTCCCCTGCAGGAGGGAGAACAGGCTGCTCTGTAGGGGACTCCCCGCCTCTTGTCCCCAAGGATGGGGGTAGCTAGTGATCTGTGTCATGCACACACCAACTCAAGCACAGGGTTGGCCCCCATCCCAGCCCCCGCAGCATTCCCATGACCACTGGAGTGACCCAGCCTCTTGGTGGAACTCCATTAACTTCCCTGCACGTTCAGGCCAGAGTGACTGAGATGGGACTCCGGCCCTACAGGGGCGCTAACGGGGCGGGCACAGCTGCACAGAGAGAGCCAGATGACAATAGGCCTTTAGTGAAAGGCCTGAATAATAATAAGAAACCTGCTAGACCAGGGGCTGCAAGAAGCGTTGCCCTTAGCAAATGGAGAAGTCTGTGCCAGGGGGCTGAGATCCGGCAACGACGGGAACCAGAGCAGCACGAGGTGGGTAGATGGGGGTGGCCTATCCCTGCTGAGGAAATCCTGAGCTCCTGTGGCAGGCTGGTGACAGCTGGCTAGCAGTGGGGAGAAGGGGTCAAAAAGACAGGAATGACCCTGTCATTTCCATCCACAGCAGTGGGGCAGAGCAGGGGAAATGAGGGGGAGAGATGGGGCAGGCCAGGGACAGGGGTGAGCCCAGAGGCTGGGGTAGTCCCTCTAGTTGCCATCATGCTTGCTGCAGTCCCCACACTGATTTCCCTTCCCCCTCGCTCCCCCCCAGATCATTTGGTATTTGCTTTCCAGCGTTGTGCGAGGGCCCCTGGGGAAGGTCGGCGAAGCAGCGAACGTGAACGGGGAGCAGTCCCCGTGCAGTGCACTCACTCTCTGTCTCTCTCTCTGTCCCCGCCAGGATGTCCTGAGCGACGCGGACTGCAAGGCCGTGCTGAAGCAGGCCCATGAGGTAGGAACTCACCACGGCAGGGAAAAAGCACAGGCCCTGGCCAGAGCCTTTGGTACACCGGGCCCAGTTCACTAACACTGACCTGCTGCAGGATTCCTGAGCCACCCCTCCCCCTACACTGTAGCCACACACCCCCTAACTGTACAGCTATCCCCAGGGTCCATCACAGCTGCAGATAGCCAAGCACCCCTCTCCCCCATATCTATACCTCCCACCCCCCATCCATACCTAGCCTCACCTTCACATGGACATACATATGCAGAGGCACATCCATACAACCTCCACCAGTCACCTGTGCTGACTCTCTAGCCCACCAGTAGCCATGTCTGCCTTCCGTAGCTTTGAGGGAGGACCGAGACGCTGTTGTCATTCCCAGCTCCCTGCCAGCCCCGTGGGCCAGCAGGTAGCTGTTGTTCCCCGGCCTCTCCAGCTGACTGGGGGAGGTGGGGTGAAAGCACTTGGCAGCCTGGCCTGTGTGCAGGTAGCATGGTGCAGTAGAACCTGGTCTCACCTCTTGCTCCTCCCGGGTCGCTGCAGGGCTTTGAGATGCGTACGTACGGTGGCCCGGCCTTTGCTCACTTCAGGCACTCGATGGGCATATCGGAGACGGAATACCAGCTGTCCCTGTCCTCCCAGAGCTCCTACCTGCAGTTCATCAGCAACTCCAAGAGCAAGGCTGACTTCTTCCTGACGTGAGTCTTCCCACGGGTGCAGAGAGAGGTCTGCACTCTCTGAGAGCTCAATGGTCTAGGTCAGTGGTTCATTCGCAGACCCCTAAAAGATGTTGAATGGAGGTGCAGACCCCTTTGGAAATCTTAGACATAGTCTGCAGACCCCAGGTTGAAAACCACTGCTCTGGGTGATCAGTGAGAGCCAATTTAACCTCAGGTACTCCTGCCTAAAGCCCACTGACATCCACAGGGAGACAGGTGAACGTCTGAAGGCAGAATTTGGCCTAAGATCTATTAGTACCGTGCCTTTCAGAACTGACTGCCTAAGTGAAGCAGCAATCAAGAAGATAACTTACTACTGACTAGAAAGATCTGTAGTGATCAGAGAGCACCCAGCAGCTGATCCCCATAACAACCAGCACTGAATACACTGCCTCTGCTATAATGTAGGACAGCGGTTCTCAGACTGTGGGTCAGGACCCCAAAGTGGGTCGCGATCCCATTTTAATGGGGTCACCAAGGCTGGCGTTAGATTTGCTGGGGACTGGGGCCCAGGCCCAAGGCCCACTGCCTAGGGCCGAAGCATGAGGACTTCAGCCCTTAGAGGACAGGCTCAGAGTTACAGGTTCCCTGCCTGGGGCTGAAGCCCTTGAGATTCGTCTTTGCCCCTCCCCATCCAGGACAGCAGGCTTGGGCTTTGATCTCCCCAGCCAGGGTGGGGGGGGGCTCGGGCGGGCTCAGGCTTTGGTCTCCCCCTCCTGGAGTCATGTAGTAATTTTTGTTGTCAGAAGGGGGTCATGGCACAATGAAGTTTGAGAACCCCTGAATAGGAAATTGTATGACCCCTCTATGACTTGTGTATGCACAAGCAATGGGTGCATGATGCTGTGCGCACTTGGCTGTAGCGGGAGGGAGAGAGGATGGATCTGTGTTTTGGAAGACTTGCATAGGTACCCGATATGTTAGGGTGTGTAAGTGTGTGTTGCATTTGGGCATGACCCGGTAGATATGTCAGACCATGGACAGTGTGGGTAATTGAATGTGTCTGAGGAAGGAGGCTACCCATTTACTAGGTGGGAGATCGTGCTTGTGTTTTGTCCCCTGCTCTGAGGTGGTTTCCGTGTGTGGCTGGGAGGCTATCTGTATTTTTGGACAGCAGCGCACAGTCAACTTGTGGAACTCCTTACCTGAGGAGGTTGTGAAGCCTAGGACTATAACAGCGTTTAAAAGAGAACTGGATAAATTCATGCAGGTTAAGTCCATTAATGGCTATTAGCCAGGATGGGTAAGGAATGGTGTCCCTAGACTCTGTTTGTGAGAGGGTGGAGATGGATGGCAGGAGAGAGATCACTTGATCATTACCTGTTAGGTTCACTCCCTCTGGGGCACCTGGCATTGGCCACTGTCGGTAGACAGGATACTGGGCTAGATGGACCTTTGGTCTGACCCAGTACGGCCGTTCTTATGTTCTTATGTTCATATGTCCGGGTGTGTTGTTTCTGTCCAGTCTCTGGGTATGGGACAGTGTGTGGGTCTGGATGAAGTATTGGGGGTGCTGACCAGAACCGTTTGTGTCTGATATTCACTAGCAAGGGGCAATTCCTCATAGCAGCAGTCAGGATGCCTTTGCTGCTTCTGCTCTGCAGTGCCCCGGCAATGCTAAGAAGCGAGATGTGTCACCTGTATGTCTTCATGGCAAAAATCCAAATGTTCTGTTATCGCTGCTGTGGGGGGGAGGGGTGTACACGCAGTGTGCAGATGTTGATGTGTCCTACACATGTGTGAGGTTGGGCATATAGGAACATGTCGTGTGTGTCCTGGGTCTGATCAAGAGGTGAGGACACTCGCTTCCCCCTATCCCCATTTACAGCCCTGGGGTAACTCTTGGCCTCCTCGTGCCATAGGAACAACAAATGCTTCTTCCTGAAGACCCAGAGCAAGAGAGAGATCCGGTTCCTCCTCTCCAACCTGCCCAAGTACATCCAGCACCTTGAGAGATACCCCCACTCCCTCCTCGTCAGGTTCCTGGGTAAGAACCACCTCCAACATGCTGGGGGGAAAGACTGAGGCTCCATAAACACCAGGGAGAACAGTCTGGCCAGGGACAGTACCTAACAGAGAGGAGATGGTGGGGCATGGCACCTGGGAGATGTGGGCTAGGACCTTCCGAGGGGGAACCTCACCTCACCTATCCCCTGTGATTCTGCTTGAGCCAAGTCACTATTCAGGGGCGCATGGACCAGAAGCCAAGGCTGCCAAGTGAGGCTCTAACAGGCTTTTGCTGGGCAGTGTATCGGGCCAGACTGTGCTAGAGCCACTGGGTTCCAGCCTGAGGAGGGACCTCGTCTACAGCAGGTGGCTCTAAACCCTGCTCTCAACCAGTCTGGCCTGTCCTCCTCCTTGCTAGCCATACCTGGGTACAGCCTGTTTGGCTGCAACCGTGCTTAAGATTTTTGAAACCCAGGTTGCAAGGCCCTTGTCCCCTGGACACAGTACTCAGTGTCCCTGCTGATTAGAGGGGGTGTCAGAGCCGCCTCCAGGCCAGACTGCCAGTCCTGGTCTGTGTTCTCTGAGCTTTCCCCTTGTCTCCTCCCTTTCAGGGGTTCACAGCATCATTGTGGCTCAGGAGAAGAAGGTAGGTTCCATCTGCCTGTCGGAGTCCGTGTCACGTGCCACCGGCCCCGTCTTTGGCACAGCCAACTCCAGCTCTGTGCCGGTTTCCATCGAGTCTCTTCTTCTCTCTCCTCTAGAAATACTTCATCATCATGCAGAGCGTGTTCTACCCCGACGAAAGGATCCTTGAACGGTGAGTTACGGGCCCATGCGGTGAGAGGGGTCACGGCTCGGGGATCAGAGGGATTTGTACAGTCAGCTCCTCTCGGGAATAATGTCCTGCCTTTGTGGCTGTCTGCCCCTCTGCAACGTGCATGTCAGCACTGCCCACTAGTGGAGGGAATGTCAGACCTGCTCCCATGTGTGTTGTTCCGTTGCCCTCTAATAGCTGCAGCTGCGAGTTTGTAAACCCAGATATTGCACAAGCAACACCGATAAAACGTGGGTGATCATGTCGCCCTCTAGTGGCCGCAGACCACAAAGAATATGAACCTACTAATAAGCATGAATATTTCATGGGAAAATTACTGAGCACTGAACCCTTTTCAAAGTCCACGGGCATAACCCCTTTGCACTCTCAGACGGTGCAGCCCAATGAGAGACTTTCCTCTCCCTTCTGACACACGGCTGCGATGGGCACTCTCATATGTCATGCTGAGGGTGTGGTGCAGAAGGGGTTAAGCAGGGGTTCAACGTGCCCTCCAGGAATCGCCTGTCCGAATTGCCATGTGCAGGTACGACATTAAAGGGTGTCAGGTGAATCGCTGGACAGAGCCCGCCCCCGAGGGCAGCCAAGTCATCGTGGTGCTGAAGGATCTCAACTTTGAAGGAAATTCCATCCACCTGGGTGAGTACTTCCCTGGCCAAGGAAGGCCTGGTGAGGCAGGGTGACCCACTGGGCCACCCACCCACTTCATACTGTCCAGCCGTCTGCCATTCACTCCACCCACTGTCCAGCCCACTCCTCCGCCTCTGTCTCTATCCATCTTCCACACCCAGCTTAGCTAAACCTCCTCATTGCATAGGTCCCAATCTGGAAGGTTGTGAATTAATCATAGGCTGATGGGAGAATGAGAGAGAGAGAGGAAAGAGAATGACCCAGCTTAGCGCTGGAGAAAGATGCAGGATCCATGTATCTGGAGGCCTAAGTGCTCTATCCACTGAAAAGGTACGGCATCCCCTCCCCCAGCCACCTTTCCAAAGTGCCTCAGACCTGAGCTGAAGGCAGCCACCTCTAGGGAGAAGCCGGTAATTCAGTCTGTCCCTGTTCACTCCTGGCTTCACTGTTGAGGCCGCCAGCGTGGGAAGTCCGTTTGCGGCGTGGGCTGGTTTTATGACGTGGATGCCAACTCACTGGGAAGTGGACGGAGCCTCCTGTCAGAACGACCGTAACCCCCCCCCCCTGCCCTTGGATCCTGGCTGTTTAGCTCAAGCTGTAGAGACTTGGGGGTTTGAGGCTGGGGTTCCTGGTTCAATCCCCAGGTGTCAGCCAAGCCGGCAGAGGTCTTGCTACCCCCTAATGATGATGGGGTAGTTGTTAGGGCTGTGGCACAGCAAACCCCAAGCACTAGTAGCACACCAGGTGGACCGTGACTTGGAGGCAGGCTCCGAAGACACTTTAGATCAGGGGTGGCCAACCTGTGGTTCCGGAGCCACATGCGGCTCTTCAGAAGTTAATATGCGGCTCCTTGTATAGGCACCGACTCCGGGGCTGGAGCTACAGGCGCCAACTGTCCAATGCGCCGGGGGGTGCTCACTGCTCAACCCCCAGCTCTGCCACAGGCCCTGCCCCACTCCACCCGTTCCCGCTCCCTCCCCTGAGCCAGTAGCGTAACTGGGGGGGGAGCGGGGGAGCGGCCGCTCCCCCACCAAGCACAAGTGGCACCTTTTTAATCCCGCCGCCGAAGACCCGGTGCGCTGCCCCGTCAGTAAAAGCACTGCAGTGGGTGGTGCCTTTTTTTTCCCCGCTCCCCCTCTTCCCTCCACCTGGCTACGCCACTGCCCTGAGCCTGTCATTCCCTCGCTCCTCCCGCTCCGCCCCAGAGCCTCCTGCACGCCACGAAACAGCTGATTGGGAGGTGCGGGGAGGGAGGGGATGGCACTGATTGGCAGGGGTGGGAGGCTCGGGGAGAGGGGGGAGCTGATGGGAGGGCTGCTGACGTATTACTGTGGCTCTTTGGCAATGTACATTGGTAAATTCTGGCTCCTTCTCAGGCTCAGGTTGGCCACCGCTGCTCTAGATGCTAGGCGCTAGCCCTCGGGTCCCACTGACAAGTCAGAGCCTGGGTTAAAGGAAGGGGTATTTTATTAGGACTAGCAAAAGGGGAAAGTGGCTTGAATGCTTGCAACTTAAGGTCAAACAATAGTGGTTTGTATGTGGGCCTGTGGGGGTGGGGGGTAGTTCACCTCTGCCTGGTGCCTCTCCAGCCCAGTTTCTGCTGGAGGCAGATTTCCAGGCCAGGATCAGCTAGTGGTGTGTCTCCTTGGAACCCCTCTGCCCACGTTCCCAAGCTCCGTTGCTTCTCCACAGCTTCTGCCCAGACCTGACCCTTGTTGCACATCTGGTTCCCCGGTTCCTGCCCCAGTTGGTTCTGCCTGCGATTCCCTGACACCTTCCCCTGCATTCAGCCTCCCTGTTGCTCCCGGTTTGCCATGCGGCTGCTCCCCCACCCCACCCAGCAAGGGTCAGGGTCTCCCATAGAGTTTCTGCCCCCTTCTCCTATTGGCCAGGAGGTGCCTGTGTGTCCACCCTGCAGGGTCATAGATCAGTGCAGAGAGGTTGGATGGAAATGGTGGTGTCCTGCTTAGCCCATTCATCACCATGCTGATAATAATAATGATCCTTGGCTCACGTCAGGCACTTTTCCGTCCCTAGATCTCCAAGCAATTTACAAAGGAGGGTCAGAATCGTGAGGGGTGGGGAAACTGAGGCACAGAGACGGGGCAGTGACTTCCCTGAAGTCCGCATGAAGGACCTTTTATGTATTTGTCTCCGCCCAGGCTCAGCCCAGTAGCTCTGGGTGATCACATGACTGTTCCCCCTGACCATATCTGCATCAACCACCTCTTTCTTCTGCTGGCCAGCCAAGTTTCATGCTGATGGAACCACATGAAATAGACAGTCCCGGAGCACCGTGAGGTGGAGCCTGTCCAACCACTAAGCTGCCTTGGCTATGTGTGGCTCTGCTCGCTCTGAGCTGCTGCCTTAGCTCATCAGGCAGACGCTTGGGCCTCTGGGCTCCTGCAAAGCGCGTGAGCAGCCTGTATCTAGCCCTGCTGCTCCATGGCCAGCATGCAGGTGGCTGTGTGCTCCAGAAGAGACGGGAGAGTCGGCTCAGCAGCAGTATGGAGTCTGGGTCCCAAGCCAGTTACAAGCTGGGGACCCCAGTAACTCTCCCATTCAGGACTCCCCGAACTAGCAGCCATCCTCTCCCTCTGCACTGCGCACCCCTCTGCCGTCACTCATTCCCTTGTGATCTCGCTGTCATCTTCGCTGTCACTTGAGTTCTCTCTCCCCTCTGTATGTCTCCTTCCACTGACTCACTTCTGCTGCCTGGCCTCCAGCTGCACTCATCTCTCCTCCACAAGCAGCCGTTTCTCCTCCAGCGGCTGCGTCTTCTACTCCTGATCCTGCCGCATTAGCACTGTCGCCCCTGCCCTGCCCAAGGCGCCATCTCCTTGGTGCCCTGCAGGACACTGCCCCTCCCACTCCCTGCTAACTGACCTGGCTTAGCTCCTATCCCTGCTCAGATCTTCCCCTCCCTGGCCCGGGCTCTCACTCCGTGTCTGTCAGCCTCTCTGCTCTCTCCTGCAGGTCAGCAGCGTTCCTGGCTCCTACGCCAGGTGCAGCTAGACACGCAGTTCCTGAAGGAGCTGAACGTGCTGGACTACAGCCTGCTGGTGGCATTTCAGCCCCTGCATGCAGACGAAAAGGGCCAGAACCTGTCCTTCGCGGACATCATCTTCAGGACCACCATGTGAGTGATCGGCCTCCTGCAGAGAACGCTCAGCACAGGGGGGAGCACGCTGCCCCTTTCGCAGCCAGCCCGCCGCTTCTCCTGCGGCTCTGGCTGGTTGGGGGCAAGCAGCAGACACGACAGGCTCAGCCCCCAGCTACCACGCTGCTTGGGGTGAGCCTGCAGAGTGCCTGAAGCCCAGCGTCTCTGGATGGGCAGAGAACCCCACAGGGACTCGGCGTCGCAGGCCCTGATTCTCAGTCACAGCATTCCTCCTTTGTGGCCAGACTGGAGGATGAGGCAAAGGGGATGTTAAGTTCCTGGTGTCAGTCCCAGCAGCCTCAGAGCTGCTCTACATTACACTCTCTTTCCCTCAGATGCTTAGGAAATAGAGAATAGCTGTAGTCTCTGGCCATGCCCTTCCCTTCCATGCCCTGCCCCGGCCTGCTCCAGACATATCTCCTGCACCTGGGGCTGGGAGCAGCCAAGCACAGAGCCCTTACCTAGCTGTATGCTGCCCCCTCCACTGCGGGAGGTTCTCAGGGGCCCTTTCCCCTGCCAAGTGACATAAAGGGCTTTAGTGTAACTGAGAATCAGGCCCACAAACCATGACTCTAGGTGACTGAACCTCAGGAGCCTGCGAGCCTCCAAGGAACCAAGTCAGTGGGGAAGCTGCACACCAGTTGCCGGTTCCTATCGCTTTGATCTGGGGTGTCCCCAAGATCTCACTGTCCTGGCCTTTCCCTGCTACAGGTCCTTGAGCAATCCCGAGAACTCCCTGCTCACCTCAGTGTCAGGGATCGTGGATGAAGAGTCTGACATTCTGGTGTCTGAGATGGTAGCGGGAGTCGACCTCTACCGACTGCGTGAGCTAAACTCTGGGATGGAGAACGTGAGCCTCCAAAGCAGCTCCAAGTCTGACTTTGATCTGGCCCACATCCTGGCCCAGAACCGACGCTTGCTGCCCCGATGCAAGAGCCCTCTGCACTTGCTTGACGGCCCGGAGTTCCGCTACTTCATGGGCATCATTGACCTGTTCACCGTGTACAGCTTCCGCAAGAGGCTCGAGCACCTGTGGAAATGCATCCGGTACCGGGATCAGACCTTCTCCACCGTCAGCCCCTCGGATTACGCCAGGCGCCTCTGCCAGTGGGTGGAATCACACACTGTATGAGGGGGGGCCCTGCACCGGGGCTGACACTGATGGCAGCTTCCCAGACAGCCCCACTCCCACGCTGGGAGGGTGACAGGCCCACAGACAGTGCTGCAAGCTGCCTGCTGCTGATCTATTGCACCACCAGGGGGCAGGCTCAAGGCAGCGGCGCTGCTGTGTTACAGGGATGCTGCGGAAGGAACATTCCCAGCATCCCGAGACCAGGTTTATGGCATCCGAACTCAAGAGCCGGAGGGGCCGTGGTCATGCGGGCAGCAGCTGCCCTGCAGCGCGCTGTGGGGATGGGGGTCAGTGTAGGTACCGCAAGTGTCCAAGGAACCCAGTAAATGGGGAATCTGTGAACCAGCTGCCAGTTTGCATTGCTCCGGCGTGGGGTGTCTCTGGGTGCGCCGGTTTGCATCTTGGGTGGTGAAATAGCCCCACCAAAATCCATTCATGGTCCCCGGATCCTCTCTTGGGACGAGGATGCGACAGGAGGTGTGGACGGATGGAAAGGGACGGCCTGATCTCCCCCGACTGCCGGTGCCATTTCGCTCCCATATGAACCCTACCAAGGGCCGCTGGAGCAGAACCCCATCTCCATGGGCACCAATCTGGTGTTCAGAAGGCACCTGCTGACCCAGAAGCATGCTGGGAAGCTAATGACAGACTCAGCAGCCAGTTCCAGTTTGTGCAGTGAAGTAGCATGTAGGGTAGGCAGAACCTTCATCCTCATCCTAGCCCCATCAGTCCTATGCCTTGAGCACCCTGATCCCACTACCCCCGTGCTGGACTGCCCGTGATCAAGGGCTAGCTCCTGAAAACCTGCCCTCCCTGCTCTCCGAAGCCACTGTCCTAGTGCTGGATTGGTTTTGATCGAGGGCTACGCTCCCTGACTATCTCTAAAGCTGGGCTGTGGGTGACTAAGAGCCGGGCGTCACAGCAAAGCTGCGCTCTCCCTGTGTTAGCTTGTCTGGGTGTAGGGACGTCAGGAGGCTGTCTAGCGTTACCACAGCCCTCGGCCAGGAAAGTTTGGGGCCCTGAGAATGCTCCTTGAGGGGTGACTCTCCGGCTCGGCTTCTTGTGAGCCCCCCGTTGAATCAGTGCAGCTGTTGTGATGGGCATGCATTAACCGAGGCGAGCTGCTGTTTGTGTGTGGCCATGCTGACTCCCTGTAGCCTCACGGCAGAAATCAGAAAGCCCATCCAGCCGCTGCCGAGTCCGGTGTTGGCAATGCCGATTGAGGGAAGAAACCACTGGGCTTGCCCAATCTGCAGGGGAAAACATGGTTGTTTAAAAAAAACAACAACCCACAAACCTTTGGCCTCAGAGACATCCGAGCCCAACCAGAGATGTGTTGGGGGGTCAGTGAAAAGGAAAAGAATAAGTGGCAGGGGCCGGGGGATCTCTTAATAAAAACAAATAATTTTAAAGCAGGGATTCCTTCCTGCAGTCACCCAAGAGCATGCAGCTTCCTGGTCTTGTCCAGCAAGGAAATTCCATATTTGAACATGGACACCTGCCACAATGCCAAAAAAAAAAAAAAGTGCAAGGAGCAACTGCATGAAAGAGACAAGGTGGGGAAGGGGCAGCACAGTCTAGCATGTCGCCAAGAGTCAGGACTCCTGGGTTTTATCCCTGGCACTGACCTTGGGCTAAATCACATCTTACTGTGCCTCAGTTTCACCATCTGCAGCATGGGGATAAACATATTCATCTGCCTTACCGTGGGTGGGGTGAGGCTTCATTCATGTCAGCAAACGCTTTCAGCTCCTGGGATTAAAGGCGTGACATAAGGGCTTGTCTACACACACAAGTTACATCAATTGAACTTGAATCACTTTATTTGTATTATGGGTAACACCTAGGAGCCCTCATGAACCAGGACCCCACTGTGTCAGGAGCCGTACAAACAGAATAAAAAGATGGTCCCTTCCCCAAAGAGCTTATCATTCTGATGCATCTTTGTATTTGAACACACTTATATCGCATCTGGTTTGTAGCACTTTATAAGTGGCATAATCCAGTTTATAGCCTGTGGCACAAGCTAAACTGCTAGAAACCAGGTTTAAACCAATATAAGCGGCACAAAGTTGCACCAGTTTAACCAAAGTGCTATCAAATCGCACCTCTCGTTTTATATGTACAACTTTGTATAATACAGGCTTGAGTGCAAAGGATTATCCTTTTTCCTTAAGTGATGATTTTAGGCAATGGAAAGAGGATGGGTGTGGGTGTGGGTGTGAGCGTGGGCATGGGGTGTGGTTTGAGATCCTCATTTGATCGGATGATGCATCCATTGGGTGCAGATGAGCTGTGTATTAATTATGGTCATCTCCCCTGTGTTTCCTGAACTGCTCTTCACATTGCAAATTCTGAAGGCAACTCAGGGAGGAAAAGAAACAAAACAAACAAATCAGAGACTCTGTCTTCTGATAACTGCTCCGGGCTACTGCAGATGACTGGAGCAAGGACCATGACAAAGTCAAATCTTCCACCACGACGTGCCTAATTCTGTCTAGAAAGGAAAAAAGAACCTGAACTGGCTTTCAAGCAACCTTATGGACTTAAAAATCTACTAAGGATCCCCTCCAGAGAGTCACTGCCTTTCAAAAATTATTTAAATGAATGAAATTAGCTGGTTAGGGCTCAATCTTATCTTCTTACATGCCCCAAAATCCAGCTGGAGTCAGTGGACCATCTTGTGGGACATCTCAGACAAGCTAGCAATAGGGAAGATGGTCTTGTGGTTATGGCCCAGGACTGAACTGTGACAGACCTACTGCAAACTTTCCTGTATACCTTGGGCAAATCATTTTGCCTCTCTGGGCCTCAGTTTCCCCAGCTGCAATATGGTGACAATAATAACCCACCTACTTCACAGACACAGAGTGAAGCTAATGTCATTGAGCCAGTGGTGAATTTGGCCTCTGAACATTTATGCAGCATTGTGATGTCCTTGCATGGAAAGCCCTAGAGAAAAACAAGTTTTATTAGAAAATGCACCAGGGTACAATACTTCTGGTCCTGTGGGACCAGACTAGAGGACCTAACGGGGCTTTCCCACCTCTAATTCCAATGGGCCCAGAGCATTTTTAAACCCATTTTGACAGAGAAGCGTAATACTGTTATCTGGTTCCAGAAGGGAACACTAACTCCTGGCTTTTAGTCCCCTCTGGCTGTGCCTCTGGGCTAAGTGAGGCTGAATGCTCCTGACATTCACAAATACTTTCTCACCAGCTCCCAGTGACCCGGGCCGCACAGTCACACTGTTGAAGGCTGACAGGGCTGCCCAAGCATTGACCAAGTAGATGTTAATTTCTGACCTCCCCCCACCCCACCCCACCCCGCCCCTGGCTTTACAGAGAATAGTTTCAGCTACCTGCTGCGTTGGCAGGGCTGCTGCATGTTGATAGTGGGTGCGACCCACTCTGAAATGGGCTCAACGTATAGCTATGCAAATAGTGCAGGAGAAAACTATCCAATAAAGATCTCAAGGCCCCAACTCATTTGTTTTATTCTCTTTTGTGCGAACCAGGGAAAGGGATTTACTGGAGCATCAGGATCTGGAGCGTCCATTGTGTGAGCGTGTCAGCCCAGCTAATGGCTTCTGAGCTAAATCGAGTCAGACAGTATCATTAACCAACTTATTGGGAGTGGGCCCAATCCCTCCGGCCTTACTCGGGTAAAGCCCTCAATGAGAGTCCTAGCAAGTGAGTAAAAAGGCTTCAGGATTTAGTCCAAGAATCATAATCGTATGTATAAACTCCTACCCAAACACCCCCCGCACCAAGGCACAGGGTGCTGCAGGGCTGAAAGAATATTTTTGCGATGAAAACAGGTACAGGCCAAGAGCTTCAGCCGGTGTCCATCAGTGCAGCTCTGCTGAAGCTAATGCCGAGACATTGCTATGGATAACAAGAACCTCCAGAGTTACATTTAGGCTTGGTAGAATTCAATTTTTATTTCTTTATACATTCGCTGGATAATATCCATGTTTATTTTTAAGCATGTTTTTGAATGTTATTGATTTAAATCGTCACCGTTGTGATTCCTTAATGACAGTAGATGTTGAGATTCAAAAAGTTAAAGCATTAAAACCCAAATTGGTAACATCACAGGGCAAAAACATACAGAGTATAGATCCTTAAATCAAACTGCAATCGGTTCTCAAGCAGCATTTTTGTTACTTTGCCTGTCTGAACGTTTTTGATCAGCATTGATGGAAATATGTTTTCATTGTGTGTGCGGGGGTGGAATTGACATTTACTGATAAAAATCGAATCCTTCAAAGCCTAGTTTTGCTACACAGGAGGCAAAATTTCTCAGGCCGCATGCATCAGGGCATAAACCACTCACTGACGGAGATTATGAAGAAACATCCCCTCTTGGCATAACTGTCCATTATGGCGTATCTTGCACCTTCATCTGACACTTCTGAGCGTGAACACCAGATTAGATGGACTGCTGGTCTGATCTGGAGTGGCAGTTCCTTTGATCGTATTTAAACTGAAAGTATTTTAAATACACAGTTCACTTGCCCCTGTTTGGGCTCTTTCTTTACTTTCAGAATTTCTCAGCATGGCCAATGGAAATTAATGAAGTCAGTTTCCGTTTTGTTTGTGCAGTGGTAGTGTCAGGCTTGCTGGGGAAGGTTTATGTGGGGAGAAAGAGGGGGAGGGTAAGGTACTTTGCAAGTGCCAGGGAGGGGTGGGATTGGCATTGGTCCTGGGCACAGCAATCAGTGCCACAGGAGAGGAGTTTGGTATGGATACTAGGGAAGAGAAGCTGGTACTGGAGGAGGAGAAGAGAGTGGTCAAAGATGGGGTTTAGCTTTGGAGGTGGATATCAATGGCCAGTGGGGGTCGGGGGGTTGACACCAGAGGGAATATCGGGGGGACTGGTATGGGGAGCTCTGATACCAGTGGGGTGTTGGTCTCAAAGAGGGGATCAATGCAAGAGGGGAGGTGGGAATTGGGGGAGAGGTATCGATGTTAGCAGTGGGGTTGGCATCGGAGGGGTAGGTCTCAGGGGGACAATATTGGGGAGGATTGGTATCGGAGGAGGGGGTATCAAAGCCAGTGCGGGGTTGGGATCAGAAGGGGACAATATCGGGGGGGGCATATCAATCCCATTTGGGGGGTTGGTATAGATGCTAGTGGAAGGTTGGTATCGGGGGGATGGAATCTACGTTGGTGTGGAGGGGGTTGGTATTGGGGAAGAGGTATTGGAGGAGGGGGGTGGTATTGGAGGAGGAGGTTGGTATCAGGTGGACTATACTGCGGGTTTGTATCAGGGAGACGGTATCAGGGGGTTGGTAATGGATGGGAGGAGGGGGTTGATGTTCGGGGATCAGTGTCTGGGGTTGGTATGGGAAGGATAGTATTGGGGGGCTGGTATTGGGAGGTTGGTGTGGGGGGAGGTATCGGAGGAGCAGGTTGGTATTGGGGGTTGGTATCAGGGGGATGGTATCAAATGAGGGGGTTGGTATTGAGGGGGTGATATCAGGGAGGAGGTATTGGAGGAGGGGGATGGTATTGGGGGTTGATATTGGGAGGATGGTATCAGATGAGGGCATTGGTATTGGGGGAGAGGTATCGGAGGAGGGTATTGGGATGGTATCAGATGAGGGGGTTGGTATGGGGGGTGGTATCTTCCCCCGATACCACCCCTATACTGACCCCCTCATCTAATACCATCCCCCCAGTACCAACCCCCCAATACCCTCCTTCAAAACCTCTCCCCCGATACCACCCCCCATACCAACCCCCTCATCTGATACCATCCCCGATACCAGCCCCCCAATACCCTCTTCTGAAACCTCTCTGCCGATACCACCCTCGGGGAGGGTGGTAGGGGGTGTTGGTGTCGGTGGCAGGGAGGAGGTATCGGAGGGTTGGTTTTGGGGGGTGTTGGTGTCGGTGGCGGGGGGG